CTGTAATATATATATATATATATATATATACAGACATATATTTGTATGACACGGAGGGACGCTTTCGTCTGCACTCAATTAGGGATGAAGAGGCAAAGTTCAACAAGGTTCGTTCCGTCCAGTTTGGGCAGAAAGGCATTCCTTTCCTGAACACCTTCGATGGCCGCACAATTCGCTACCCCGACCCTCTGATAAAGGCGAACGATACGATAAAACTCGATCTTGAGTCGAACAAAATCGTCGACTTCATCAAATTCACTTCATCAAATTCGACGTCGGAAATGTTGTGATTGTCACCGGAGGAAGGAACAGAGGCCGTGTTGGCGTGATCAAGAACAGAGAGAAGCACAAGGGAACGTTCGAGACGATTCACGTCCAGGATGCGGCGGGGCACGAGTTCGCGACTCGGCTCGGTAATGTGTTCACCATTGGAAAGGGAACAAAGCCTAGGGTCTCTCTTCCTAAAGGTAAGGGTATTAAGCTCTCTATTATTGAGGAGGCCAGGAAGCTCTTGGCTGCTGCTTCTGCTGCCACTGCTTGATGTTTTTGAGGGTATTTAGAGAATTTTCGTTTTGTTTTGGTGTGTTTTGAATGAAGAATGAAGTATGAAGAATTTAGCGGACACATTTCGTTTGTGGTTTTTTGTTTATTGTAACATGATGTTTTAACTGGAAGTTAATATGCTTTGGATCTGGAAGAGTTTATTAGTTGGTATAAAAATATATATATATATACAGACATACATACATACAATGGCAATTTATATATATATCCCGATCTTTTGATGTTCTCTTGAATTTAGGCATCTTTTTTGTGCTTTTTGAGAATTTTATTCATACAATGGCAGTTTTTTCTCTCCTCTTTTCATTGAGAGGGCAAGATTGGTGCACTCTGTTGCACTGGTAACATGAGCTTCCTAGGACAATTATAAATTTTTTTTAGATTTTTTATATTGTTTTCTTTCACTTCTGCTCCTGCTATGGTAAACGCTATTTGTTATGCTACTAAAAATAATGTGCAACTCTTGTCTTTGACAGGAATAGTTGCAATGGCTATTTTACTTTTTCTTGGTTATAATTCATTTTGTTATTTGTTCAGTTATTTTGGGAGCGTTCCTCTCTTTTGAAGCTTACTTCGGCAAGACCTATGAAGGGAGAAAAAGCTATTTATTGCTTGGCTTGCTTGATTTCACTTATTGAACAGGTACTCGACTGTAGTAAATGGTTACTGTGAAGTGGTTTAGCAAAGCAACTTTTTTTGTTTATTTTTTATTTTACAAAAATTTTAATATTCTAATTAATTTGTTTATTTTCCACTACGTGCTAACTTTATGGAATTGACCATGACTATTAATTAAAGTTTGTGTTAATTAGATCACTGTGTCATTGTAAAATCGTGAAATCCTCTATAGCATTTCTGTCCCTTATTTACGTGTCATTTCAAAATCATTAATCTTCTGTAACATTTCTATCCCTTGTTTACATGTCAATGTACAATCGACACTTTTATCATATTTTACACATTACCACATAATCTTCACTTAGCCCATCCTCTTGAAACTTTATGTTCACTTAAGTCCATCACTGACATCCTTATATCTTATAGCTAGGGCTATCAAAAAAGCTCGTTGTTCGCGAACAGCTTGTGTGCGGCTCGTTAAGTAGCTCGTGTTCGGCTCGTTCATTAAGACAAAAAACAATTCTTTGTTCGCTCGTGTTCGGCTCGTTTTAGCTTGAAAAAAAAAATTTATTTATATAATTATATATTAAATAATATATTATATATATTTATTTATAAGTTTAAATCATAATTGCTTGTATTGTAATGTGGTTATGCATCTTTTTTGGCATACATTTGGTTTATGTTTGAATCCAACATTATACATCTATAATATTTAAATCGAGCCGAACACGAACCCGAATATTTAAATCGAGCCGAACACGAACCCGAATATTTAAATCGAGCCGAACACGAACCCGAATATTTAAATCGAGCCGAACACGAATACACTGTTCACGAGCCAATTTCGAACACGAGCCGATTTCGATCACGAGCTATTTTGAACGAGCCGAACACGAGCCAAGCCTGAGCTCGCTCAAGCTCGGCTCGTTTACAGCCCTACTTATATACATACATACATATAAAGGATTTTTAAAGCATATTTTAATTTTACTTTTCAATTATAGGCACTAATCACATGATTGATAAAAAATTCAAACAAATGATTTCTTTTCTTTCAACTGAAGCTAACATGATAAAATTTGGAGACCTTTGGAACATTTTATACTCGTAAATGTTAGAAGAAGGGGTTTTATGTTTTGCCTTTTTGGTTTGGGTTGATGAAATAAAATGCTACTTATCCTCTTTCGTCCAATAGCAAAACCATAATCTGCTGTTTATAACTGCATATAACTGCATACTGATCTCAATAACAACTTTTTTTTTTTGAAATTTTTTAGAAGAAAGATGATTAATGTATTTAGAAAATTTACATTTAGTTTAGTTTAGTTTTTTTCCTTGTTTATTAATTGCAGCCATTGTCGTTATGATTGTTATTTTTTTTCATCACATTCAGACTCGCTATCTGCGCTTTCGTCAAACTCCTATTGACTGGGGATGGTGTAGGGAGCTGCAGTCTTTTATTTTTGTTTTTCATGCACACAACAGGTCGAGTATTTTTTAGCTTGGGGCATGCACATTCATGCCACCTAATTCTTATATATTTTTATACCTAACAGCTAAACTTCACTTTTTTCATATCACATCAAAAATAGACCTTTTCATGCATAGGTAATGTGACGTTTGTAAAAATTGAAGTTTAGGTGTTAGATATGTAAATACTTAGGAATTGAGTGGGGTATGTATGTAAATTGTCCTTTTTATTATTTGTCACCTGTACTTCTCTCCGCTTGTTTAGCCATATAATACCTGAATGTTATTTTGTGATTTGTACTGCTGCAGAATTGCTTTGGAACGTCCAGAATATGGTTATGCTACCTATTTCTTTGAGCTTGTGGACTCTTTGCCCATTGACTGGCAGGTCAAGCGTTTAACGAAGGCAATGAAGCTCACTAAGCAGCAGGACAATTCTGCTTGAGAACAAACCATTAATTGTAAGATCTTGCAACTCCAAATGTGCCCTTTTTATTTCATACTTAAATTGTTCTATCTTCTTCATTAATCTCTCCAAAACCGTAGCCACTATGAATATTTCTAAAATCTTCTACCACTACCAACATCTCCATTTAAATCTCCTTCAATAAATTATTTTTTTTCAAAAGGTATCATTTGTTATAATTCTTCTATGTCATTCCAGATATTTTCTTTACAATCTATATTCAAACCTACTTGAGGAGCATAAATATGTATAACATTAAAAATTGTAGTATCAACAACAATCTTAAGGGTTATAATTTAAGGGTTATAATTCTATCTTATTCTATCTTCAATTCCATTAATTTTTACAACATTATCTTTCAAACTCTTATTTATAATTGCACTTACACCATTTCTAGTGCGACTCCTGCATGAATACCAAAATTTAAAACCTAAGCTATTGGGAGATTAAAGTTCTGGAGGCTTTAAATAGAATTAGGGGTGGAAAATCAGTATGACCTGATGATATCCCATTTGAAGTTTGAAAATATTGAGGAAATTTGGGAGTTTCCTGGCTTACTAAACACTTTAATATTATTTTAAAAACTAAAAAGATGCCTGAGGAGTAGAGGAAGAATATTTTGGTCCTCTTTTTTAAGAATAAAAGGGGATGCACAAGAGTATAAATTATAGAGGAATTATGTTGATTTGTCATACTTTAAAATTATGTGAGAGGGTAATTGACCGTAGGTTAAGACGTGATACAAAGATTTATCATAATCAATATGATAGAGAAGTTCTTATAGAGAATAAGGAGTATTTACTTGTGATTTTTATTGATTTTGAAAAAAAGCTATGATAAGGTTCCAAGAGAAGTCCTATGGAGAGTTATAGAGAAATGTGTTGATATGACATTTTTTTAAGTCATAGAGATATGATACTAGAGTTGTTACTTGTGTTCAAGTGAAAGGAGGATTGACCAAGGATTTTCCTATTTTAGTTGGATTACATCAGGGATCGAGTTTAAGCCAATATCTTTTTGTTTTAGTTATGGATACTCTTGCTGGACATTTACAGGAGGATATACCCTGGTGTATACATTTTTTATGATCATATCCTTCTTGTGAATAAGACTATAGAAAGATTCCAGGGAAAAACTAGAATTACAGAGGCGTACAATGGAGTCTAAAGGTCTTCGTTTGATTAAAACTAAAACTGAATACATGGAATGTAATTTTAGTAGTATAGCTGCAGTGACAGAGCTGTAATTATGGGTGATCAAATCATTAAAAGGTGTAAATGTTTTAGATATCTTAGTTCTATTTTTCAAAGTGATGTTGATATACATGGGGATGTTATTAGTAGAATTCAAGTTTGTTGATTGAAGTGGAGGAATGCATCAAGCCTATTTTGTGATAGAAAAGTATCGCTCAAACTGAGAATAAAATTTTATAAAATGGTGGTAAGACCTGTAATGCTCTAAGACGCAGAATGTTGGCATTTAAAAGAGGAGTATAATACAAAGTTAAGTGTCTGTTTGGGATCACTTTTTGTTTTCTATTTTTATTTTTTGTTTTTAATCTATTTTGTTCTTGTTTTATTTTCTATTTTCTGTTTTTAGAAAATACGTTTGGTACTATTATGATTTATATGCTTTTAAAAATAAAAAATATAAAATGTGTTTGGTTTGATATTTTTTATTTTTTTTAAAGAAAAAAGTATACTTTTTATAAAACAGTTAAGTCCACGTGTGATCCAATATTAAACTATGGCGCTTATGGTGTTTACGACTTCTTTCTTGCTCCATCTAGCACGAAGATTACCTGTGGGCGGGCAGGTGGTTGATGATGGTTGCAGCTGGTGGGGGCCGACAGCGGCAGACGCAACGGTGGCAGTGTGACGACATGACCCTGGGTTTGAAATTTAAACAAGAGAGTAACGGACGATTGGACAATAAAAAACAATTTTCTTATATTCTATTTCTACACTAACTCAAGGGAAAGAATTCAATTTGCATGTCAGTATTTCATATCTTTTTAAGAAATCTTAGAATATGTCAATTTTTCATAACTCTATAAGAAATCTTTGAATATATTATTGCATGTATCAATGCTCTTTTCTAAATGAAAAATACTCTAAAATTCTACATGTATTTATTTTTAGTTTTTTTGTATATTCTTTACATACACATCTGTCAACTTTGAGGATCGCCGTTAAAATAACCTAACACATCATTGGCCGATATTGCTCCGTCAACTCCCGTTGGCACAATGGGTAGTGGTGAAAACATCACAATTGTCTAGGAATGAAAGATCCTCACCTGCCCCCTGATTGATATTATTTCGTCAGCAAAGCGATTAGTTATCTATATATCACAATTGTTTGGGGTGGAAGTTTTGTCTACTCGCTCCTTACCGATATTATCCCTTCGGCACAACGGTTAGTGGACTAACTATTATAATTATCTGGGATGGTAGAAAAACCTCTACGCGAGACATTAGGTTTGTGAAATTTTTCTTTGAACTTGCACATATAAACATTCATAAATACCATATTTTCATTTGATCAATTAAAATATAATTTAGTTTCATGTCTGCATTTTTTTATTAAAAATCATGCATCTCTACTAAAATCTAAGGTTATATGATAATCCAAAAGATGCACATTTACTCTAGTTCTAAAGGGCAAATAAAGTCAAATCATAATATGACATTTATATTTAGTCATACAATAAACTAACATATACATCTTTTATTTGGATGTATAGATCTTTTGGTAAACTACTATTTTCATAAACTAAATTACGCAACTATTTTGACACCAACATTTAACATGTACATATCATAATTGACCATATGAAAAATTATATATGATTTAATTTCATTATGTAGTTATTTAATATGCATATTTTCCTATCTGACAAATTGAAGCATCTATTATAATCTAATTCTCATTCAAATAAAGCATCAATAAAATCAAGTATATATTTTGAAATAAAGTTAACTACTGAAATATAGAAATGTAATTACTCATCTTGATTTAAAATGATTTTCTTGTTAGCGACTTCTGCCGCGTTCTTCAAAGTAGCACCTATAATATAAAATATTGCATTTACTAATTTTTTCTCGTGCTACTTAATTATAGTTCAAATTACTCATCTTAATTATGAATTAAAATCCTTAAATTAATACTAATACTAAATAACAATACTTTAAATAATTTTTTTTGAAAGTTGAACTCAAATCTTCACTATTTATCAAGATTGTTCTCCCTCACTCCACGCTTCACCAACTTATTTTCCTTCTAAGTAGAACTTCTACAGTTTAATTCCTGTTTAGTTAAACATATTGTTAATATATTTATACATTATATGTATATTTGATTCAGTAATTTAAATATACTTAAACCCTAACACACACTTTCACACAAACACACACACACAACATTATATTAATTAACTAAATAATAATAAAAATCTTGATTTATAACTTATACCTTTCAATCAGCTGCCTTAACCTCACGAACGCACAAACATGCGAGCTTTGAGTCCCTCACACCGCACGAAGGTCCTTCTTCCTACTCCTTCGGCCTCAACTGGACTTAATAAAACACGTGCTACTCTTTTCCTCTCGCGAGAAGGCCCTTCTTCCTACTCCTTCGGCCTCAACTGGACCCAATAAAACACGTGATACTCTTCTTCTCCTTGCGAGAAGGCCTTTCCTTTCTGTGTACAGGAGCACAAAGTCTTTGCTTCTGGACTAGGGCTCAACTTCCTCTTCTGCTATGCCTTCTTTGGTCGCAGCTCGAGGCCGCACACATGCGTGTGTGCACACGAGCACAACACATCAAGCTGCTCGACCTCCTTCCTCCTGCAAGCGATGTTGCTTACTTGTCCAACATGCTTTGTCGTCAAAGTGTCTTCTCCTTCACGCACGACGCCGACTTTGTCAATCTCAAGCGAACCCACAACCAATAGTATTATCAACTTTTCACCCAAGCAACCACACCAGAATCGCTCTCTGTAGGTTCTCCCTCACACGATGATTTTTTGATTCCTTCTTCCACTTCTCATGTCGCAGTCGAGCCGCCTGCTACCCTTTCCTTCCTCTTCTTCTTATTTCTTCTTTTTCTGATTTTTGCCCTCTTTGAAAGAAACCCACGACTCATAAAGACTTAACGAACGAGTGCACGAAACAAACGGGGGCTTATCCATATGTTTTTTTTATTAATATTATTTCTTTTTTTTAACTGATTATTACAGGTGACGACTAACGACGAGCTGCTGCTGGCTGCAACGAGCCGGCGGAGGGCAAGGTTGGCATCTGCGGTGGGGCTGGCAAAGGATACTGGCAAAGGATAGCGGCTACCGGGTGGCGAGGCCGGTTACAACAACGGTTGCCGGCGGCGAGCAGGGACCGGAGGCGAGCAGCGGCAGCTGACGACGGGCGACGTAATTTTGCAAATCTAATGCTCCGAAAAATATTTTTTTAAAAAACAACAAAAACAATTTCTATGTTGTTGATGTTTTGAAAACAAACCTAATGTGTTTTAAAAACAAAAATAAGAAAAAAAAACAAAAAAGTAAAAAAAAAATACTTTTTTTGGGTTAATTTTCTGTTTCTTTTTTTTCAAAAACAAAAAACAGAGAAAAAAAGTGATCTTAAATAGGGCCCAAGTGTTGTTGAGATGAGATGGTTTAGGTGAATCAGTGGCTTGACACTTAGAGACAAAATCCGAAATGAATATATCTGTGAAAGTGTTGTTGTAGCTTCTGTGGCGGATAATATTAGAGAGAGCCCGTCTTAGATTGTTTGGTCACATTAAACGTCGACCGTCTGATGATCCAGTTTGGATCGTAGATGTTTTCTAGCTTCGACTGATGTTAAGAAAGACAGAGGTGGACCTAAAATGACTTTGGCATATGGTATAAAAGATGATCTTAATCTATTAGAATTAAATGAAAATATGACACTCAATAGGACACAATGGAGAAACAGTATTCATGTAGCCTACCCCGCTTAGCGGGATAAAGGCTTGTTGTTATTGTAATTGTTATGTTAATATCAAACATTTAATTTCGTAATTACATGTTATTGTGAGATGTCTCACCATTACTGCACGCACTAGGTATCACTCATGGCGTAAGATGTGGGAAAAAAATGTTTCATTGGGTGCATCTCTCCCATAGCTTTATTTATGTAAGTAATACCTTTATTTATGTGGGCATTTTACATAAATACCACACAATTCTTATGTATTTACACATCTAACACCCATTGTTTGATATTTACACTTATGACACCTTGGTGTCATAAACATTTGCATGCAAAGGTGTATTTCACTTTTAAAAAAAGGTGGTGGTACTTTTGATGCGACCTAAAAGATTTGATTGGTTTGCACCTAAATATGAATGTTTAGGCGTTACATATGTAAATACAAGAATTGTATGATATGCATGTAAATGCCCCTATTTGTATAAAGAGCACACTCATGGATGTTGTTATTAAAAGCGTGACTTAGGAGCGAACCGGAGCAATGCACTTGCTGCTAGCATTGCTTATATGTAGTGTGCAAGTTTGCTGCAAAGCTCGCACATCACATCGTAGTGCCTCAGAGTCTCTTGGCTCCAGCAATATCATGGTTTTGATTCCATGGTTTGATTTAGTGTTTGCTATAATAAATTGGCACGAACATTCGTTTCACACTATTTTTGTAGTTTGAGTTGTTACTCGTTAGTTGTATGTTCTTTTACGTTGGAGCTAATATTTTATTTTCTTCAAGCTCTCCTACGTTGATTTTGTGTCTCGTTGGTTTTTTTTGCTGGCGCTACTAGCTTTTCATTGGTTAAATTAATTGTAGTTCATCTTTCATTTTTTCTTTGGAGCCTTTAAATGCATAATTAGTGCTCAATTCCTATGTATTTACATATCTAACACCTAAATTTTACTTTTTTTTTTTTTTTACATTCATACCATTCAAATATTTTATGTCACATAAAAGGGAAATACATCTTTTCATACATTGGTAAGGTGGCGTGTACGTAAAAATTGTAGTTGTTAGATATGCAATTACATAGGAATTGAATGCTATGCTGGTAAGTCTCTCTTTTTAGTAAATGGAATCAAGTTGTATTTTGCTGCTTGTTCAATATAATATTTTTTTTATTTATTTTAGTTTTATGTTTGGGGCATTTACATTCATTTTTTAACAATTCTTGTTCATTTACATATCTAATACCTAAATTTTATATTTAACTGCATGGAACTCAACTATTACGTACCTTTTAAAAGTGAATTCATGCATAGGTTTATGGCACTAGGGGTTATAAATGTGAATATTAAAATTTTGGCCGTAGATACATAATTACATGAGAGTTATATTTTTCCAGGTGGGAGAAGATCTGTCAGAAGGAGAGGCCCGTGTTATGGAAGCGTATGGTTGGACGCGGAATACTGGGTTTGGAACCATGCTCAACTACGTTGACAGAGTCGTGCACGACAAGAAAAATTTGACGTACTGCTCGGAATGGAGGGCTAAGATTGGAAAGATGCTAATGAACGGCTATGATGGTGGCCGCATGGTGCTGCCCAATATCCCTGACAAGGTCGTAGAATATTTGGGGAGTCGGAGTTCAGGAATCAAGATGGAGCTCTGAACATTCAACACCCGATTATGTAAATTCACCCATGCAATAGATAGATTTTTTTTTTTTTTTTTTTTTTTTTTTTTGCGTTTCTAATAATGGTGCATGAATATCTTAATATTATTGAAGGTATCTGGCTGTGCATTTCCTACTATTTTATGCATAGAGAAGTATCCTAATATTATAATATATGTATGTATGTATATGGATGCATGGGGGTAAGTTTTGAGGCTCAAATGGCGATATATTTTTTTTCTTCTATTATTTTTTTAAAACATTTTTGTCTAGTATATTTTAAGCTATGTTTTTTTATTTTGAAAAAAAAAATATATTTAAGCATTTATTTAACTTTTAAAGAATATTGAACTTTCTTAAAAATACCTTTCATGGTCAACTATTGAACCCACCGGCGGTGATCATTATTGCATTGTGGTCCTATTGACCACCATCGCTCCTCCGTAGGCAATCATTGTTTAAGGGTGTAAGCAAACCGAACACGAGCGTGTTTAGACTTAGCTTGTGTTCTGTTCGTTTATATTTCAAGTTCAAAAAGTGTGTTTATGTTGGCCTTGTTTGTTTAATGAGTCAAATACGAGTTGTTCACGAACAAAAAGTTGTTTTGATATCTGTAATCACAGTCATATGATGTTAAGGGTTGGAAAATATTTAAAAATTATTATTTATATTAAAACATCATTTGAATTTAATTCAATAATTTTTAGTGTTTTTTTTAATTAATACTTTTAATTGATTATAAATTTTTGTAGCCTTGTAGTCAATTAAAATTTTTAAAATATGCTCATCAATGTATGTATGTATGTATGTATATATATATATATAATTGGTGAGTAGTATTTCGAGAAAAAATGAGCTAAACACGAATGAATAAATTTTTGTTTATGACAACGAGCTGTTTTGACAACACTATCAGTGTTACATGCTTGCCTCCAATGTCATACAGGCAACATGTTCAATAACCAAGAAAAATAAACACATTTTTAATATCTTTAGGCTTGCTTGCTTGATTCTAAAAATTGGAGGGTTATCCTTGCATGCTCCTTTGGATATACCTTTAATTCTTTGATTCCTTTCTATCTTAAGGATATAACATACAAAATGAAAAAATAAAAAATAAATCTAAGTTAAGCATTTATTATTTTAATTGATCAGTAGAAGCATTTATTATTTTAATTGATCAGCAGAGAAAATGATGGATTCTACAATCCCATCCAATATTTTATGGTAATTATGCCACATTTAACACTGTTATAATGGCCTTGATTTGATTGCTCTATACACCAACAAAGATAGTAGATTATAAATAAATTTTATTTTGTTAATGCTGGCCTTAATTTTTTTATCGACACTCCTATTCTCATTTCCCTATCCAAGGGATCATCTCAAGCTCGGAACCATTTCACTCCTCTGCATTATGTCCGCAGACCAACTCGTAGAAATCTTAACAAAATCTCTACCTACAACCCAGCATCCGTAACTTACAGCCATGTTGACAATCCAACCATCCGATCATCATATTGAGGAAGGGTATTATGAATCTTACCTGAGCATCCTGTCACGGACAAATAGTCCCACATCAGCTAGGTGTAGGGCCGAAAAGCAGTATTTAAGTCCTGGGCTGCCCACCACCCACAAGGGCTCTTTTGGGAGGTGACAAGTGGTATCGGAGCAGATTACTGCCTGCCAGGTGTGTGGACTCTCCATGGTCCAGTGGGACCCTCGGTGGAGCCGATCCGTGACGAGGGCGTCACGTGATTGGGTGGAGGAGAATGTCACGGACAAATAGTCCCACATCAGCTAGGTGTAGGGCCGAAAAGCAGTATTTAAGTCCTGGGCTGCCTACCACCCACAAGGGCTCTTTTGAGAGGTGACAAGTGGTATCAGAGCAGACTACTGCCTGCCAGGTGTGTGGACTCTCCATGGACCATTGGGACCATTGGTTGGTGCGATCCG